TAAAATTTAATTATATATTTATTTTTAAAAAATAATTCTATATTTCAAATTTAAAAATTTAATAAACTCTTCTTTAATACTTATTTTAATAATATCTATATATTAAAATTTTAATAATATAAAAAATTTTTTTTAATTACAGCAATGTTTTAAATAAATTTTTAAAATGAATTATAGTTATCATTTGTTCTTTATAGGATATTAAATATATAGTGTTTCTTTACTTGATTGCCAACCAACTATAATAGATTAGATTCGTGTTTCTTCCTATGACCGGCAGCGTGTATCTACGGTACCGGTGGAAATTAGTTAATATAAAATGTCGTGCACTAAATTCCGTTTTTTATTTTATATCACATATAGTTGTTTATTTTTGAATCTTGTAAATGCAAATATTCAGACATCATCAAAAAATACTTTTGCAGAACAACTTACTGAAGAAAATTGGGATCGTATACTAATCGGAGAATGGATGGTGGAATTGTGAGTTGATTTGATTCCATGTCGTTAAATGATATCGTGTCAAAAATTATATTGCAAACACATTTGTATAAATTTGTATATATTTTGATATTTCATTTGAAATTTTATGATATCATTAATTTCAAATATTTGCCATGAATTTTTATTAAATTAAAAATATAGATTTATAAAAAATATTTTATTGAAAATTATAATGTTAAATATTTTATATTTTAATTTATATAATAATATAATTGAATATTTTGCGATTTAGTTATGCTCCATGGTGCCCTGCTTGTAAAGCATTGGAACCAATTTGGGAACATCTTGCTTCACAAAAGAAGAATCTAAATATTAATGTAGCAAAAGTTGATGTAACTGATTCTCCAGGACTTAGTGGAAGATTTATGGTTACAGCTTTACCAACAATATATCAGTAAGATTTTTTATGTTATAAGAATAATTTGATAATAAATACTTATAATTATTTTTAATTAAATTTTAATGTTTTCTTTAGTGTTAAAGATGGTATATTTAGGCAATATAAAAGCCCTAGAGATAAAGATTCATTGATTGAATTTGTATCTGAAAAAACTTGGGAAAAAATTGAACCAATTCCTGGTTGGAAGAGTCCAACTTCTATTCAAATGTCTCTTATTAGTCAATTCTTTAAAATGTCACAAGTATTAAGGGTAAAGACTTTTATAAAAAAATTAATAAAATTGATTTAAATTTTAAATATATTATAAGATCAAATTGTTCTTACAGGGAATACATAATAAACTTATGGAAGATTTTGGATTACCTACATGGGGAAGTTATTTAATTTTTGCTATTGCTACTATTGTTTTAGGTGCAATATTAGGATTGGTAAGCTTGAATAATATAATTAAATTATTTGAATTTAAATTAATATAATTTTTACTTATAGTTTATTGTCTGCTTGATCGATTTTATATATCCACCAAAACCTGTGATGCTTCAAGACAAAAAGAAACAAAAAGAAGGATCAGGAGGATTTATGCAAGAGAAAAGTATACAAGATGAAGAAATTGTTAAAAATGTTAAAGATGATTTAGTAGATGAAGAATCTGAACAAGAAGGATCAGAGACAGAAGAAAAAGAAAAAGATGTAAATAAAGATTCCAAAACTGAACCAAGCAGTCCAAATGTTCGTAAACGTAAGCCACGTAAAGCTGATTAGACATACTAATTTCTTGTATGTACATATTTAACATCTGGAGAAAATGATAAACGATATTTAACAGTTTGTAATATTAATTTGTTTTGATAAATGAAGACAGTGACAACAATACATGAATATTCTATTTGACAAAAAATTGTGAGAGTTCATGCAAAGAGATAAAAATAGATTTCATTATTAATTTATAGTTATTCGAAATATGTAAAGTATTTTCAAATGTGACAGCAAAACTATAATATTGCATAAAAAAAACTTTAAATGCAAAATTAACTAACCTCAGGTATCATTTTAACATTATAGAATATTAATTATAATAAATAGTAAAATAATAAATAAAATTTGAAATGCTTTATATATAAATTTATAATACCATTGCTTGCAAACACAAATAAACTTTTTTTGTGTTAAACATCGCGCGACACAATAATTATTATATCACTATTATTTTGATTAAACTTTTTACAGTTATTATAAAATGAGAAAGATGGTTATTTTTTCAATCATATGGAACTACTTTTTTTTGAATAACTTTGATATAAATTTGCATTCAAACATTTAATAACATAACTAATTGTAAGTAATTAATATATTTTTTTGTACAAATTTTTTATTTATAAATTTTATATATCATACTGCAAGATAAATGAACAATTATGTATTATTTATATATTCACTCTTATACATTCTTATTCTTCTAATACAGTGATATAAAATATTTGTTTTCAAATTGTAAAAATGCTCTTAAGAATTTATAATTTAGATAAATCTAAATAGCTTTAAAATTTTTTATATGATTGTATGCATTTTTTGTTTTTTCTATGAAATTAGAAATTTTGTATACAATACTAACTACACTTAAAAGAAAAAATTGAGTTTAATTATTTTAAGAAATTATGTTAAAAAATAAATAATAAATTTTTATATAATAATATAATAACTATATAACTAAATTACTGATAAATTTTGTAGTATTAATTAATCATTATATTTTCTTTTATATTTTTTAATATAAAAAATAAAGATATCAATATAACAACAACTTTCTAATTGTAAATAATTTTTAATAACTATATGTAACTATCCGTATTAAATTTTTATAATATTTATTTGATACAAAACAAAATTTTAGATTATTGTATACATATATAAAATAAACATTATACAATAAATATTAAATCAAGTCACAAACATAAGTGTAATAAAATATATAAAATATATTGCATTTATATATAGTATTAGTTATATTGCATCAATATTTTTATATATTTATGAATAATTTATTAATATATTGTAATTATTTGATAATTATCAAAATGTCTTCCATATATATTACATATTTCTATTCTAAGAAAAATAACTATAAATATACTATATTAACATTTTGTTCTATTTTATTATCATGAATTGATTATTTCGTGTTAAGTTTCAGACAGATTTATATTCAAGTAATTTTTATTATTATATATTTTTAAATATAAATTACATTTTTAAATAAAAATTTTATGTGAAGATTATATTTTTAATTAAGTAATATAAAAGTTGTAATGCTAACTGCCTAATAAACGTATTATGTAATAATTATATTTTATTTATAAAAATTCATTAATTAAAAATTTTTTATTAATGTTTATCAAATATTACAATAAAAGATGTATATAAAGTAAATATAGATAGTATACTTTAAAAAAAAAATATAGACTTTATTAATTATATTATTTGTATAAAAATTTTATACAATTTAATTATAATACAATTACTAGTAATTAATCATTATATTAACATAATTAATATAATATAAAAGTAAATTATTTTTATTTTTAAATAAAAAATATAAAATCAAACATTCTGTATAACGGAAATGACGTTGAAATAATTTAAAAATTTTATTTTATTTAATTAAACTAATAACATGCACATGTATTATGTTTTGATTTACACTTTATAAAATTATATTCATATTTTTTTATGAAATATAAATTTTAGGATTGTAAATGTTATATAATAAAATATAATAAAAATTTATGCGCATGCGTCATGACACGAATCGAAATCATAATTATACACTTTTATTCTTTACTTATATATACACGAATACGAGACGCGTGTTAGAGTTAACCTCAAAAATTATATCTGCGACCACGTTTGGAAAGGTATGTTAATTTAATATTATAAAACTAAAAAAATACATATATATTTTATATTATATTACTTTATAAATAATACTTTATAAATTATTTTATAATTAATGAATATCAATAAAAATGTTAAATTATATTAATTAAAATAGATATAAAAAAAAAAATTAAATTTGAAATAATTTCAATTTTAATAGTACAATTATATACATAAAATATTAAATTATATTAAATTATATGCAATATATACATTGAATTTATTATATTTTTTAATGTTTTTTAAAATTAACAATTTATTTATTACTTTAAATAAAAATTATTATTTTAAATTATTATTAACTTTTATTCATAAAATTTAGTTACATTTTTAATTTCTTTTTATTTCTTATTTACAGTAAATCTATATATTAAATAACATAATAATGACTAAAACAAATATGGTTAAAAACATGAAAAAACGATCAGCAAGTGAATTTGAGGCAATTGAAAAAAAAACAGAAATATCAGGAAATTTTAATAAAAATCATAAGAAAAAGAAACTAGAAAATGGAATAGTACAAAATGGACAAACAAATCAACAAGTTAAAAAGGACATACCTAAAAAATTCAAAAATGAAAAGAAAAAAAATCATGATTCAAAAGTTGTTCAAGATTGTAATATAAAAGAAATAACTGAAAATAATCCACAGAAAAATAAAAAACAGATATCAAATAAAGAAAATAAATTAGAAATATTAAAAAAGAGAGAAGAATATCGTAAAAAGCGTAAAGCAAATAGGCAGATGAAGCATGAAATAAATCGTAATTTATCTGTTGAGGAAATAAAAAAGAAAATTCAATTAATAGAAGCTCGACAAAATCTCACAAAAAGTGCTAGGAGAAAACTAGCAGCACTTAAAAAAAGATTAAGAATGGAAGAAGGAGTAGATAAACCTAAACAAATTATAAAAAAAGAGACAGAAAATATAAAAAGTGAAAAATCAATAGAATTTGTTAAAAAGAAACAACTACAAAGCACTGAACAAAAAAAAAAATTGCAAGAAAAATTAGAGATTAAGTCAAATGAAAATAAAAATAAAGATGTTAAACAAAATAAGACATTAACATCTTTAAAACAAAAAAATGAAGATGATGATGATAGTGATGAAGATAAGGAAGAAATTGAAATAGAAGATGAAGATGAAAGTAATATAGAAGATGAGGAAGAGGATGATGATGAGGAAGATGAGGAAAATGAGGAAGATGAGGAAGATGAGGAAGATGAGGAAGATGAGGAAGAGGAGGAAGAGGAAGAGGAAGAGGATAATGATGAGGATGATGATGATGATAATGATGACGATGACAATGATGATATAGAAGAAAAAGATGAAAAAAATGAGAATAATAAGCAACATGAAGATAATAAAATTAAAAAAAGTATGCAAGATTTAAAAGAAAAAGGAAAATCTATAAATATAGAGGAAGAAAATAAAAAGAAAAGATATGTTCTTTTCATAGGAAATTTACCATATAAGTAAGAACATGTATTAAATATTAAATAAATTCTTTATATATATATGTATTTTTATATTATATTTATATTTTTATATTTTAGTATTACTAATGAGGAACTTAAAAAACATTTTTTGACTAAAGTCAATCAAATAGTTGATATTAGGATACCTAAGAAAGATGCAAACACAGCACGTGGATTTGCTTACATTGAACTGGCCAATAATACAGATTATGAGGTATGTTTATATTGTAATTCATTTATTTTGAATATTAGAATCAATTATCTATGTATACATAGTTACATATTATTATACTATATTATTATACTTATTTATTAACAGAAAGCACTTTCACTCAATCATTCATTTATTAATGGGAGAAGGATAAACGTGCAATATTCTGGAAGCAACAAAAAAGTAGGTGTTGTTAAAAATTTTAAATTGCATGCTCTACAAAAGGCAGGAAAATTAACAGGTGGAAATAACAGAAACATTCAAAAACATGCTGGAAATAAAGGAAAGCAAAATATGCGAATGACAAAAACATAATCAATAGAATTAATTTGAAATAAATATTTAAATTTTAACTTCATTATTTCCCTATTTTGACATTTAGAATTAAGCTTTTTTATGTAATCAAGATTTATTCTTAATTGTAACATTCACATATTGGATAATATAGATAAAAAATTTATCTACTAGAAGTTGTACAGTTTATTTATATTGTTAACCTAACATGTATATGAAATCTTCATTTATTGGATACATGTTTATTAGAACAAAAGTTTTAAACTTCACATGTTTACATAACAATACGTTGTTATAAAATTATATGCAGTTCATAGATAAAAAATGTCATTTTTTGTGACAATTTTAGTATTATATACTAAAACTGAAGAATTATCTTAATTTATATTAAGGGAGGTTAGAAAAAAATTTTGATAATTTAATATTCATACAAAATATGTCTAAATCAGAAATAATATATAAAATAGTACAAGATGAAATGAATAATTCTTTAGATTTTGAAGCGACGATTCCATGGACAAAAGAATTAACAGAGGTACTTAATTCTTAAATTGTTGTAATACGTATTTTATAATTGAATATATTCGTAGAATATACGGAAAAGAATGATATTTTTATGTCCTAGGAGAATTTACCTGATCATATTATCTTTCCAAAAGAATTAAATCTATTTTTGAGAAATCGAATTCAGGTAATCGAAATAAATTCTGTTTATGCAATTATAATTATTTTTAAAAATAATAATTATGTAATACTTTGAATATATAAAATAATTCATTTAATTTCATTATAAAATTTCATATAAATTCTATATAAAATTAAATTAAATATGAATAATTTTTATTAAATATAAATAAGTATAATAGGATTTAATTACTGAAAATGGTTGTTTGCGACGAGCACTTGAAGAAATGGAAGAAAAAGTACGAAAAAAAGAAATCGTAGAAAATGGACAATCAATAATTTTAGGAAAACCGAATGAAATAGCAACTGCGAAAATTATTGAGCTTAGCAAAAGATGTAGAGAACAGACTGCAGAAATTGAAGTTCTGAAGTCTAAATGTAAAAATCTTGAAATTCATTTAATTAATAAAGAAACAGAATTAGAAAATGAGCGACACGAAAGAAGGCATTTGAAAACTGATGACTCCTCTCAGCAGAGTGAGTTATATTAAAGATTTTTCAACTGCACACAACATTTTTACACTATTACTTTCCTCTATTATTATTCCATCATGATCGAGATATAGGATGGTATCCTTGACAAAGGTACCAAAAATAATTTGCCGAGGGAAGATGAGGATCGAATGAAACATTTACTCGAAAAATTACAACTAACTCAAACGAAACTATATGAATCTAAAAATAACTGCATCAGTCTTAAACAAGAGATTAATAAATTGAATAAGGTATTTTATTTAAATATCTTATTGGAAATTGTATGGGAAAAAATGAAGTAAAGATACTTTTAAAGCTGCAAATATAGTTATTATATAGCGAAGTTGGTGAAAATATGAATTTGAATAATTTATCGAATCAATCCGGATGGCGTGGAAGAGCTGAACAGATTCATCTGTTACATCAAAAAATAACTGAACTGCAATCAAAATTATCGGAATATGAAGGAACGCAAAAAATGTCTATTGGTATTAAAATAAAATTTCTAAATTTTAGATTTCTATTGATAAAATTTATATTTTTTCTTAGTATCCGTAGAACGAAAAAATTTTGAGAATCTTCGAAATGTTGAAAAAGAAAGACGGCGTCAAATTGAAGATTCAGTAAAGCAACTTCGACAAACGGAAGTCATTGTTGAAGAATATAGAAGAAAATTAGAAGCTTCAAAAGCAAGAATAAAAGTATTAGAACATGAATTGAATATTACAAAAGGAAACATTGCTATATTAAATGAAAAAAGATCTCACGATATTCATTTAATCGAGACACTCAACGTAAGTATTCGATGATATTGAATTATTCTTTCTTTTATATTTAATGAATTTTGTAGAATCGACTTAAAACTACCGAAATAAAACATGAAGAACGCGAGACAGATACAAGAAACAAATCAGAGAAGATTGAACGTGAGTACACGAACTTAAAAAATGATTTACAGTCAGCACAACTTCAAATTGATCGGTTGCGTAAAAAATTAGAAGAACGAGAAATCGAAATAGATAAATTGAGGTGATTTATTTTTAGAAAAAATAAAAAGTATAAACAGATTTTTATAAAAATGTGTTATTAATTTTAGGAATGGAACAGTCCCCAATATATGGGAGATTAAATCTCGAAAAATTACGCAACCTGAAATATTTTTAAATAATTTTAACAATAATACTTCTCCTCATACCGTTCGAAGTACATGCGAACCTAACGAGTATGTAACTTTAGCTCTTGCCGCTGAGGCTGAAAGAGAGAGATTGTTGGAATTAATAACAATACTTAATAGACGACTAGATAAAGAAAGAAATGACGCTGATATTCTTTCTGTGAGTCTTCTACAATATTATTTATATCCTTATCTCTTGATTGAATTTCTAATCAGATGAATTATATGTAGAATATCTTACGTAATGAAAAACACAAATCGGCAAAATTAGAGTTAAAAATTCGAAAATTGGAGACAGAGAAAATAGGAATTGTTAAGATCGATACTGGATATAGAACAAAATTACCAAAATTATCAAAAACTAGTGATAAATTAATGGATACAGAACAAATGCGGCTTAAGTAAGCAACAGAAAATATGTAAATATAAATTATCTAAAATACTTAAGCTTTATCTAATAATTTTTGATAAATTTTAAATAGAATGGAATTATTGCAAGAAGAATGTCTCGCATTGAAAGCTAGATTAGATGCTGTGCAAAAAGACAAAGTTGCCGATCTTGCGACTTATAAACAAATGTTTGAGGAAGTCAGAAAAATTTTTTATGAAGCCTACAGGTATTTATGAATAATAAATCAAAAAGCAAAAATTATTAAAAGAATTATTATATAAATTTTTTTTTTAGGAGCAAATCATCGGTTCCCATTGGCAGTCGTTCAACCATTACAGTTTAATTAAAATCAAAAACTTTTTTGAATGATGTGTTTATTCTAAAATAAAATACATTCTATACTTTAATTAAACGATGAAAAATTTATCATGATGAAATAAAACATGATATTATTAGTAAATCATGAATTGATCAGCGATGCCTATTGTTAGTTCCTTCCGATCGGAATTGTGTAAGAACTACAAAATCGTGTATGATGATGTAACTAGGACACGAGATAAGGTGCAACGCACCACGTAAACGCGCGTGACATCGTCAAAGCAACGGTTCCGTTTCTGTCTTTTATTATTTTTTTCTTTTCCTTTTTATAGAACCTGTGTTTACTCTGAACCAGCATTAACTATTACTATTGATATCGCTCGTCAGTTTTCACTCCATGGATTTATAATTATTTTTTTCCAAAAATTTTAAAAAGTGAATTGACGGTCAAGTATAATTTTTTTTTATATTTTTTTTTTCTACCTTCTTTCTTTTTTATAAAAAAAAAAGAACTTTAGAATTGAATACTATTTCATCAATTATATTTCATGCGAAACTTATATATTCTTAAATATATAACTTAAAATCTTGATGAACTAAATTTTCTGATGAAGTTCGTATTATTCTATATTATTCTCAAGTAATTGTTTAAGTAAATGTATTAATTGTATTGTCTTGAGTATAGAAATATCTTTCATAAGAAAATTCAGCTCAGGGCGTTCCAATCGGTGGTAAGCTCAAGCATACAGGTGCGAGCTTACAGGTGTTGGCGCTTCTACCTGATAAGAAGCATACCCGTGACGTCAGATCAGCACAGGTAGAGTATATGAGTCGAACCGGAGAGACATCCACGTCACTCGTTCTTGAACCTCTTCGTTCGTTTGTTCTGCAAAGAGTTGTTCGTCAGTTATTAACTTTCTCGTTAGTTCGTTGCGCGCCCCTTTCACTATTTCTGACTTCACTATCCCTGATTATTTTTTTCATACAATAACGTGAATCGAGAAGAAGCTTTAAACGGAATGTATGTTCATCCGGAAGTCTAGCGTGATCAGTTATGATTTTGGAACCAGGGGTACCTATTAGGTAAGTCGTTGAGTTGCTACGAACTTTATCTTCATGTAAATTAATTTAGTGTTTTTTTATTGTTATAACAAAAATCGTAAAAGTAAAAATTAGTGAATATATTTGAAAGCTGTTCGTATAGAAAATTTAGAAAAGAAAAAAATCTTGTTTCGTTGAAGGCGTTCATATCTATTGCCGCTGAAGTTCCTGCGACCTCAAGTATTTACAGCTGGAATTCTTCGTGCCGAGGTCTTTTCATGTGTAAATTCCAGAGATATTGCTAGTAGAGAATACACGACGTTGGTTTCACGCTTGAAATAATGATTATGTAACTATGGGCATTGGTAATGAAACATTTTACAACGACCCCGATAACGTTGTTGAATTTTTCAGGTATTTAAGATACTCGTTCCGTGACACTGTCTTTAGAACAAATTTTTGATAAACAAAAACATTGCATATTAGGAAATCTCAATTATTATTTATAAATTCATCTTATTTTTATCTTAATGATACTATTTTCATAAAATATCGTATATAATATAAAAAATATATAGAATTAAATGAACTAAATAGATTTATCCAATTAATTATGGAACAATATTAATTGACGATTATGTCAGAACATTGACATTGGTAATAATATTGTTACAATTATAATTGAAATTAAATGTATACTATATTTATTTAGAAGATTACAATATTAGGAAGAAAAAATCTCGGAATCATATATTTTTTAAATATTCAATTTTTATAAATAAAATAATAATAAATAAAATATTTTACATGTTAATAAAACTATACTTTTTTACAAATAGACATGCAATTAAGAAGATAACGTGAAACTCATTAAAGTTGGTAAATAGGCTACGATGAAGCATAGGGGATCAGTATATATGATTTGATTTCATTCTTTTTTATCTTTTTAAGAATACTTTTTTTAGGATTGAATTAATATTTTACATTTATTTCATCATTGTACCTAATTTATAGATTGTTTGAATACTATATAAAAAAATTCTAGGATTTTTGGTAATACCTGTACGAGTCAACTCGTTATCGCTTTTATCGCGTTGTCTACTGATAACATGTAATCGGTGGCTTCTCTCAAAGGTGATATTCGATATTTGTCGTCAGATTTAATAAATGTATGTTTTTATTGATTCTTTGGGTAATAGAAGAATATTTAAAAAAAAAGGATATAATACATATGTAAGTAATTATTGAAGATGTTCGTTTCATTATACAATTTTATCTAGTTTTCTTTTGTGCAAGGAAAAGTAACATAAATTTCGTTATGATATCATACTTATAACTTACTTATAATTTATAATATAATTAAAAGATTTTTATTATTTTGTTAAAATCTAACACATTCTTATATTATTTTTTAAATTATTGATTATAATTAAAATATTATAAAATTAATGTTTATTGATTTTTAAATTTGTTTTGATGATTACAATTTTGATTATAATATTTATATATATAATATTAAAAAAAATATATTTATAATATTTATAATATAAATATAATTAAAATATAATATAATTATAAAATATAATATAATATA